GACTCAGTCCATCACAGGGACACCTGGACATGACTCAGTCCATCACAAGGACACAGAACCATCCAGAGACAATCACACAGAAAGCCCCTAAATGGATTCAAACTAAAAACTTGAGGTCTAATCACTAATGATCAATACTAATTGATAAGTGTGACATCATTACTGAGTCCACAACATGAAGATGTGATCAGGTAGACCTATATAAACATATACATTTACATACACACGAGAAGATGTAAAAAATGGCAAGTTGGCCTTCTTGGACTGTGAGGTCTCAGTCTCTGATAGAGGACATTTGCAAACTGAGGTGTACCACAAACCCACCCACACAGACCAGTATTTGCAGTTTGACTCCCATCACCCTTTGGAGCACAAGTTAGGAGTCATCAGGACTCTGTATCACAGAGCAGACAGCGTCCCCACTAGCTCAGGAGTCAGGCAGAAGGAGAAATCCCACACAAGACAGGCTCTAGAGCAATGTGGATATTCTAACTGGGCCTTCCTGAAAGCAGAGAAGAAACCCAAACAGGACTCCAGTCAGCCAACAGGTGAAAAGGAGGAACCCAGACCCAGACCAGTGGTCATTCCATATGTTGAGGGGGTATCAGAGAAACTGAGACGTTTATTTTCTAAACATAACGTCCCAGTGGCTTTTAAACCCCAAAATACATTAAAGACTGGTTCATCCCAAAGATCCAGTCCCCCGGCACAAACAGAGTAATGTTGTGTATGTTGTTCAGTGTCAGGAGGGTGATCAGTCTTACATCGGGGAAACTAAACAGCCACTGGCCAAAAGGATGGACCAGCACAGAAGATCAACATCATCAGGCCAGGACTCTGAGGTCTACACTCATCTCCAGGCCAGCGGTCACTCTTTCAGGGATGAAGATGTTCACATCCTGGACAGAGAGGAACGATGGTTTGAGAGAGGAGTAAAGGAGGCCATCTTTGTGAAAAGAAATCGTCCATCATTAAACAGGGGTGGAGCCTCCAGGTTCAACTGTCCCCCTCTTACAATGCTGTGATTGCTAGTATCACTCAGCCCTCTGTGAACAGTAAACAGCCATCAGGTGCTAATGATCCATTGTTAGGCTGATGGTCCTTCTTGAGCATGTGATCAGCTGGTTCTGGTTGTCAGCAGCAAACTGGTTGATCCACTCTGAGAAGGTGCTATTTAAGAGACTGAGCTGAATACAGCACCTCAGACTGAGGAAGTCCTCAGGATGAGAGACGAAACGTTTCTACATTTTTTTGTTTGTTTTGCTTTGTTTTGTTTTTTGAATGTCCAGAGGACCAGAATGAACTTTTTTGGATTTTTCTACCTGGATTATTGAGCATGCATCAGGATATATACATTTATTATTACTAATGGTAGAATTAAAGGTGAGCCGTGCACATTTGTTTGTTTGAAACAAGTAGTCCTCCGTGTCCCTCTGTCCTACTGGAGTAGACCTCAGAGACAAAAAGGTTGGAGGGACGTCCTACACCAGGCACCACCAGAGTCCACCAGGGTCCAAACAGACCGGACCAAGAACTTTATCCTCCGTCTGATATGCTCATCAAAGACAAAGAGGTTTCCACTCAAACTTTGATACATTTAGCTCGGTGCGTACCTTTGGACGGGTTCAGCAGTTCTGTTCTGAACCTGGAGGACGGATCAGAACTCACACACGTGCCGAGATCCAGCAGGACTTCAGGGAGTCTGAAGAAGATCCGGATCTTCCTCCTCACACTGAACTTCTGTCAGGTTTAATCAAGACTTCTGTTAGTTAACTTCAATTTGTCTTCCAACATTTTTCAGTCAGGTCATCTGGACAGTTTCTTTTTTTGTGCTGAAACGTTTCGCCTTCCATCCAGAAGGCTTCATCAGTCAAGGAGACACACAACAAAACTGATTCTCCCCCCAACAGTTTACTCCAAAGTGGAACAAACCAGTTCTGCTTGTGATAAGCACAAAAAAAGAAACTGTCCAGATGACCTGACTGAAAAATGTTGGATTTTAGACCTGGATTATTGAGCATGGACTTTGTTGTTCCATTTGTCTTATTCTTCATCACATTAAATCTGTCACGAAGGGGTTTTATTTTAATAAAAAATGCATATGTTTAATGTTTTCATTTTTACGTAGTAGTCGTAATATGCAGCCTGGATTAATGCATGTTTTGTTATTGTTGTTGTTTTTTCTTACTAATTGTCATAAACAAGGTATCCTCTTAATACAGTTTGTCCACTTTTATTTTGAAACGCAGTTCCCGGAAGTGCGGCAGCTGTAGCTGTTAGCTTGGTGCTAACAGTTGAGAACATGTCCGCTCCTCTCAGGACGTTGAACTGCCGTCTCAGGCCTTTCTGTCCGGTGCTCCCGGAGAGGAGACTGAGGAGGAGACCGGGCAGCATGCGCTGGAAGTCGGACACAAACACGGGTACTTCCGTCCGGAGCTAAACTAGCAGGCTAATGTTAGCATCCTGCCTGTGGTCGGGATTAGTGAGATAATTTGACTTCCTGTGGTCATAATCTGCAGATATCCTCCCGGTTTAATGAGTCAGCATGTTTTATACTTTATGAAAGTTAATTTAACTGAGACTTAACTCTATTTATTACATTAATGTAGCTCGATTACAGTTTAACTTGCGTCAAACTGCCGGAAGTTACGTCTACAGCGGTTTATGTCAAAATAAAAGTAGAATTCTCATTGACCTGTTACAGTTGAGTTAAAACACTCGTTTGTTACACGACAACAGATCGTTTCAGTGTTTCCGTGGTTTGGTCCGAGATGGTGTAGAGGCAGGGCAGCCAATATTTAAAAAAAGCCCAGCTACATCATAAAGCAATGTAAAATATATGTAGCTGCACACCTGGGGGTTTCCCAGGTGTGATGGGCTCAGTGCTGTATGGAAACACACAATGATGACAATCTCAGACTTCCCTCCCATTAGAAGTTTGAAGCTGGAGCTGAACTGGTTCTGTTTGGGTCACAGTAAAAGCTCAGGTCTGATTCTGGTCTCTGCTGCAGAAAGTCTGGGACCACTAGAGGGCATCAGAGTCCTGGACCTGACCAGGTGAGTCCTGCAGTCTGTCTCTGTCCTCTCAGCCGACTCGGTTCGGTTCTGCTGACGTCTCACTGGATGTTTGCAGGGTTCTGGCCGGCCCGTTTGCCACCATGATCCTGGGAGACCTCGGGGCCGAGGTGATCAAGGTGGAGAGGCCAGGTGAGCGTGTTTCTGCCCAGCTTCAGGCGAAGGATTGTGGGAAACCTGACGGGTTTGTGTCGAGCAGGTGGAGGTGACGACACCAGAACCTGGGGTCCTCCGTTTGTCGGGTCAGAGAGCGTTTACTTCCTGAGCATCAACCGGAACAAGAAGGTGGCGAGGCCCGCTCCTTTCACTTCCTGTCAGGAGACGCACCCTTGAGTCTGGTGAAAATCATTCTGGGGTGAACTTCTGTTTCAGAGCGTCGCTGTGGACCTGAAGCATCCGAGAGGAGCACACGTCATCCAGGAGGTGAGTCGCTGCAGGAGGTGACGCTCAGAGAGCACATGTTTCAGGACCACGCCAAAAATCATTGAAATAATCTGATAAAGAAGAAAACGTGGAGGTAAAGTTCAGGCAGCTCAGGTGTGTGTGTTTCAGCTGTCAGCTGTGTGTGACGTGTTGGTGGAGAACTTCCTGCCGGGGAAACTGGCTCTGATGGGTTTAGGGTTCGATCAGCTGATCAGACTGAATCCTCGGCTCGTCTACTGCTCCATATCAGGTACGGACTCACCCGAGGACAACAGTCTACAGATGAATCGCGCTGAGCGTCGTGTCCAGGCTGAATTTTCCATGAGAACGTGTCATCAGACGTTGTTAATGCGTCAAACATGTCGGAGTTTCTGAATGAACGAGTGAATTTAGTCCCTGCAGAACCTGCACGGTGCGTTCAGGGTCATTCCCCTCCAGCAGCTGTTAGTGACTGCTGTTTCCCTAAACCAGCCACCAGGAAGCACCAGCAAGTGTCTCTCTGGTTCTGGTCCCAAGCCCGGGTAAATGAGGCTTGTGTCAGGAAGGGCATCCAACGTAAAACACTTTGTCCAAAACTATAATGAGAGTTCATCAAAACGGAACCATACCGGATCGGTCGAGGCCCAGGTGAACAACGACCGCCACTCATGCTGTTGACAAACGGCAGAAAGACCACGAGGAGGGAGGCGTGCCAGGGGACGGAGGGAGAAGAATTAATGTCTAAATTCATTCATCCAACCTTTATTTCTACTGGTTAGTCTCACTGAGCCTCAAGGACTCATTTACGAGAGGTTCAGACAACAATAAACATTAATATAAATTAACCACTGATGCCTCTACTCTGGAGACACAACATGTAAAAGACTGTAGTTCACTTTGCCAGATGAAGACCCTGAACTTGACCTCAGCTGCTGTCCCCAAAGTTCTCTTGATGTTTCGTAGTCTGACCCGTTCACCATGGACCAGTAGAGCAGAGCTGTTCCCTCCAGAAGGTCTGTTTTACTCTGAGTGGATTTTTCACAGCTCATATGAAAGATAAACACGATGTTCACTTGTGGTTCATACAGCAACTGGACCTCCAACAACCAGAAACTGACACGAGGAACAGAGACCAGTCTTTGCTGGGAGATAATGTTGTATAATATTTAAATTATTGGGGAACTGTTCTTGAACAGCTGAGCTACAGGTAATGGAGTACTCTGAGTTGTTTGTGTCCTCAGGTTATGGACAGACCGGTCCTCTGTCTCACAGTCCAGGGTACGACTCCATCGTCTCGGCCGTGTCAGGGATGATGCACATCACCGGCCCGGAGGTCAGACGGGCTTCGCTTAGCTTCAGGAATCAGTTCAACAGCTGCTGTGTCTGTTAGCACATCTGTCTGATTGTCTCACTGCAGTTTGGATTTTAGTCTCTTCTGCTTCTGCTGGCAGGACGGAGAGCCGGTGCGTCCAGGTGTCGCCATGACGGACCTGGCAACAGGTCTGTATGCACATGGAGCCATCATGGCTGCTCTGCTGCAGAGACACAGGACAGGAAGAGGAGCTCACATCGACTGCAACCTCCTGTCATCACAGGTACGACTTCCTGTTACTGATGTCACACAGGCCCTACTTCCTGTTACCGATGTCACACAGGCCCTACTTCCTGTTACTGATGTCACACAGGCCCTACTTCCTGTTACTGATGTCACACAGGCCCTACTTCCTGTTACTGATGTCACACAGGCCCTACTTCCTGTTACTGATTTCACACAGGCCCTACTTCCTGTTACCGATGTCACACAGGCCCTATTTCCTGTTACTGATGTCACACAGGCCCTACTTCCTGTTACTGATTTCACACAGACCCTACTTCCTGTTAACTGATGTCACACAGGCCCTATTTCCTGTTACTGATGTCAAACAGGCCCTACTTCCTGTTGCCGATGTTACACAGGCCCTACTTCCTGTTATCGATGTCACACAGGCCCTACTTCCTGTTGCTGATGGCACACAGGTCCTACTTCCTGTTACCAAAGTCAAACCAGTCTTACTTCCCTTTACCCATGTCCTGTAACCAGAACCATAGACATATATACATAGATGCCTTCTTGAGCGGGCTAGCCCGCTGCAGTGGTACGTCGGAGCATCCACCATATTGAATTTAAAATGACGTCATCGTTGATGTACGATTCAGTGCTCAGTGAGGTGTCTACATATATATGTCTATGATCAGAACTTCTCCCTGTTGATGGTGTTGTGTTCAGGGTCTGCTGGTAAATCCCAGAATTGAAGCGGTCTTCCTGTGTCTGTGTGAGAAGCTGAACTAATAACCTGTAGAGATTCAAACATCTGATTTATATGAGAACGTCAACAAACAGGACCGCCAGTATTTCTCTGAGAGTCTAAACAAATGACTCGGAGACAAATGGGACCGGGCTTTGGTCTGGACTCTGGGGTGCATTTGAGTTGACGAGCTGGTTGTGTGACAGTGCTGCTTTTAAAGCTGCTTTATGTGTCCTGAGTTCATGTTTTTCACTGTGACCCGACCCAGTTCAGCATTTCTCAGGAGTTTATGTTCTTTCAGAGAAGAACTCGGTTTGCAAACAGCTTGAAGACCCAAACTCGGTTCAGAGGATTCAGGTTCTCAGCCTCAGTCTGCCGCAGCTCCTCCGATCCACGATAAAGTACATCAGATTCTGATTCACAGAACGAGACATCCAGAGATGGATAAATGGCTCAAACAATCTGTGAGGCTTTGGCAGGGACCGGTTTCTAGAGTCTCGATTTCTGTGGTCAAAATCTGGGGCTGCTGCAGTCAGATTACCCACAGTCCACCTCTCCTCCCTCCACCACGTCCCATGATGCATTACTGTAGGAAGTGCGGCAGCCACAGGAACGCCGACCGCACAGTGACTCCTCCAGGAGGGTCCTGAACAAAGACGGCACACAGGACTGGATCGGATGGTTCAGATGGAGACAAACCTCCACCCAGGACTGGATCGGATGGTCCAGATGGAGACAAACCTCCACCCA